GAATAGTAGAACTCTTTCTAAGAGGGAGTAGGCTTGTGTCTGATTCAGTGGCAGAACAACGTTTGAACTATAACTCCTGATTCTTGAATTTGGGGAAAACATGGGAAAGTGAAGTAAGATTAGATGTGAGTAACAAGTTTTAAAAAAGATCGTCAAGAAACCGAAAACAACTCTGTTGATTAAATTTTTTTATTCTGATTACCCATGAATTATTCTGATACAAAGTATAAATTACATGAGTTCAGTATTTCTTTTAGAAAAATGTGTACAAAAGTCCTGTTGTCGTTGACTGTCATAAGTCAGTTCAGACTCATGGCGACCCTGTGAGTAGAACTGAACTCCATAGGGTTTTCTTGGCTGGAATCTTAACAGAAGCAGATTACTAGTTCTTTTCTTCCACAGTACAGCTGGGTGAATTTGAACCACCCACCTTTAGAACTTAGTAGTTGAGTACAAACCATTTGTGCCACCTAGGGACCTTGTATAAAGCCCTAGCGCAAGAAAATTCTTGAATTACACTCTGATTTGAACTGTGGTAAATGATAGCTCTTTGTCAATCTGTTGTGATGCATATGTTTCATAAAATCTGACTAAAAAGCATTTGCCATTGAGTTGATTTGGACTCATGGTAACCCCATGTGTGTCAGAGTAGAACTATACTTCATAGGGTTTTCCATTGTTGATTTTTCGGGAGGTAGATCATCACCAGACCTTTCTTCTGAGGTGCCTCTGAGTGAACATGAACCTCCAACTTTTTGGTTAGCAGCTTAGCACATTAACTGTTTGCACCTACCAGGGACTCCAGAATCTGACTAGCATGTAATAAATAGTATGTCATGAAAGTATGTAATTATTTAGTAAATATTTACTTGTCACACTTCTCTTTTATTGGTGTCATATTTAGGTTTAAAAAAAAGCAATATAATGTTCTGATATAACATGTTAAAGTAATGACCGTAAACCAGTGCTTTTGAAACTTTTTATAAAAGGAAAGTATCATTTCATCAAAACTTATTTTTAAAATGAAACTGTTGCTTTTTTTAAACTTCAAATCATTTAAAGAAATGCCATCTTAAGGATAGAAGTGTTAGATTGCTGAATTATAGTGGTAGTGTTTTTATTATGTTTTTAAAATATTCTTCATTAAGAATTACCTAGGGGAGAAGGGGTATTTCTTGAGTCTCTTATATACGTAGATAGAAATAGTCAATTAATTGGGAATACCAAATTAAAAGTTGAATTACTTTAATTCTTTCATTATTCTGAATGTACATATATGGTCTAGGCTTGTATCACTATTCTACTCACATTGTGATCTGCTTTTACCTAGTTTTTTAAATTGAAAAAATAATACATATACATGCATAATAACATTTCCAGTATTACTAAAAGCTGTGCAATGAATAGTAAGTTTCCCTCCCACATAACTCCCCTTTACAGACTCCTGTTCAGAAGCTCCTATTCACAGGCAACAACTTAACGGTTTCATAGTACAATCTGGTAACTGAAACATACGTATTTCTTGTCAGAATAGCTTTGTTCATAAAATTTTTTTCCATTCATTATTATACTGTTCCTTCTGGAGATAATTAAAATGCTTTTGGAGATAACTTACATGTTCTTTAGAGATACTATTTGTGGTTATATGGTTGTGTCCTATGGTAAAAACGAGTACATGTGCATTTTTATTATGAAAAAGTGGCATGGTAGTGCTAGGTTGGCTGATTAAAAAAAAGTAAACCTGCAGTGTTGAAGATTAATTCTTCAAAGAAAATGGTACATTACAATTGAGCAGACATCCTTCCTTCCACACTTGAATTGAAAATCAAAACTCACATGTAGCATTAAAATAAGTATGGGGAAATTATTTTCTGATAGATGTCAGACATTAAACTCACAAATCTCCATGTGCTGTTGGCAACATGTAAGGAATTCAGTTCTTAAAAATATGTGGGTCCATCAGCTTTTTAAGGAAATGTGACCATATGGATTTAACAGTAGGAACAGTATGGTTAAAAATAAACCAAGATCAGGAGAGGCTAAATCCAGGACTTAAAAATATAAAAGATTTGAGGATTGATTTGAAACTGATGTTTAGGTGAGCAATTGCAATTAATTCCATTCTATATCTGGAAAAGGCCCTTTCTTCAACTCATCTCTGTTTCTCCTTAATGTAAATAATTGATATCCGCAAGTATTTATGGAGTATATACTTTCTGTAATCTAAAAATTAGAGGATAAAATTACACAAGTATCTTGGTTTGGGTTTAGTTTTCTGTTGTAATATTTATTAATCTTCGACATTGTCACTTCCTGTTTACTAAAAAATGATGATGAACCCTTTGGTATATTATAATTGGCAAAGTTAGTGACAGTGTGGGAGACTTTTTCATTCACTTGGGGTAAGATTTTCCATATTTCCAAGGATAGCAAAACCCATAAATATTCCTTCCTTTGCTTCTGTCTTCTTCTTGCTGTATGCTTAATACCCTTCTGTGGGGGTATTAACTTTCTCCTGCAGTTACTAACGCCTGAAAAATCTGCCTATCATATTTTGAGGGAGCAACATGTATCTGTTAGCTACCAGGGTGACTGCATTTGAAAGAAAAATGACAGATAGTCTGTTTTTAGACCAACCATTTTATTATGGTTATATGAACCCATTTATCTGTCTCGTATCTCACCTAATTTAAAAATAAAATCATGACACCTTATGTAAGCATATAAGTATTAATAAATCCTGTTATTTTCCTAGGTGAAAATGTTTAGTAACTATATACATACAATTTACTTGTTAGATTTGGGTATCCCCCCCCCAAAAAAAAAAAAAACTAGTGCTGTTTTAATGTCAGATTAGGAAAAAAAACTAGATTGTCAAAATTTTCTTTGTGCGTCTTTATACAACACAGTACTCTATAGGTATTAATACTTCTCGTTACTGAACAGTTTCAATACCCTTCCAAAATATATTTTAATTAAATGGCACATTTTAAATTCAGTGTAATAAAACTGGAAAAGAATAAATGGAATATTTTTGATGAAGTAAAAAGAATTTATTGCCTTACTTGAATGAGCTGTTTGTTATACTTAGCCCCCTTCCCCTAGTTGTGGAAAATTTTAAAGCTATGTAAATGCAGAGAGAATACTCAGCTTCTCTAATTACAAATTCATTGCAGTCTTGTTTCATCTATACTGTCCCATCCCCAGACTTATTTTGAAGCATATCCTAGACATCATACCATTTCATCCACTGATATTTCAGTTTGTATCTTTAAAAGATAATCAAGTCTCCACTTTTAAACAACATATAACAAGAGCTAAGGAGCCCTGGTGGTGCTACAGTTAAGCAGTCAGCTGCTAACTAAACAGTCTGCCGTTCAAACCCAGCAGCAACTCTGAAGGAGAAAAGACCTGGCGCTCCGCTCCTGTAAAGATTGTTGTTGTGTGCCATCATATCGGGTTGCTATGAGTAGGAATCAACTTGATGGCACACAAAAAAACAAGAGCTAGTTTTCAGTTATATTCTGAGTGAAGAGCACAGTATTAACATTAGGCCAAAATAGGTGCTGGTGCTGGTGCTGTGTGAGGCAGTGAAACCACTTTAGAAAATACTGACACTTTTCATAACTTTCAGTATTTATGAACTTTTTTTTTCTTCTTTTTAAAATACAGGCTTGCTTTATTTCAGGTTCCTGCTGCTCCTTTCTTTTTGCTGTTGACTCTTTCCCCTGTACCTCCACAAGAGGGCAGATAAAGGAAAAGAGAAGTGAAATTTAAATGAACCTGACTCACAGTTCCCATTTGTTCATCAGTCAAATGGAGTTGCAAAACATTTTGGGGGGGCTTCTTAGAAACTAGCAGTGACTTCTCTTCTTGTATCTACTTACAGTGCCTTTCCTTGCTTTTTAGAGACCAAATAATTTTATAGAATATTATTATTTAGTAATAATATTAAAATACACACTATTTAAAAAGTGTGAAGCAATAGTCTTTTTACAAAAGGGTTTCCGAAGTGTTGTCAAATACTTTAATTTTCTGTTACTAATTTGGGCTTTGATGAAAATACACCATTTGAATTTATATGTAATTTTTGCATGTAATAGTTTTGGGTAACTATTAAAATATTTCTGCCCCCTGAGTGATGAGAATGTTGTGCAGGTACTGTATTTTAGCTGGGCATTTGGTTAGAAGTGGAAGGTACATGACTACTGTCTTTATCCCAGTGCAACTTTCTCATTTCCTAAGAAACCTCAGTATGGTAGTATCATTGAGTGAATTTTGTTCATAAATACCTACAGATATATTATGGTTAATTTATGTTTGCCAAAGACAGTATTCTGTTTGAAGCATGCTTGATATCGAACACCTGAAAGCCATATAAATTGCTTTTTAATCTGTGGAAATTTTAAGTTAACATTTATAAGGTTTTGTGTAATGTGATTATTTTTTTATTCCCAAAGATTGATATTTGTGTACTGTAATCTGGGGGAAGTTTTTCTTCTTCAGTATGATGTATATTTACTCTTGTTCTTTGTTGTTTTTTCCAGTGAATATGTTTCTTTTGGAGAAATGCTGTTTTTCTAAGTAGACTATATGAGAGTCACATTTTGTATATGTGATTTTAGCTGTTATAAAATGTTGGGGAAATGATGGGATAAATTTGTAAAAATTCTTTTTGTATAAATTTTGACACCTGTCTTGCAGTTAGTGTTTTGCCTTCTCTTTCCATCACATTGCGATCTGGTTACCGAAGTCTATATCCTTGCAGCATGATACATAATTATAATCAAACTGTTATCTTAACATTCCTGTAGCATTCTGTTTTTCAGCACTTAATGCTTTTTATTTCTTAGCTTCATGCATGAATTATGTAGCATATGTGAAGAGGCTTTAACTGTTTCCATTACATTCTTTCTGGATGGCTCCTGTTATATTTAGGATATGCTTATTCTGTAGACAAAGTAAGGATGTTATTGTTGTTGATCTTGACACCAGATAACTGGGCAGACATTATATAGCTATGTTTGAATCCTCACAAAATGTGATGCTAAAGCCAACAGAGTCCTGGCGGGAGACTCTTCTGGACAGCAGAGTTATGGAGCTTTTCTTCACAGTAAGTCTCATCTTCATCTCTGGTTGTAAGGGCCATGGAAATGTGCCCCTGAGAAGAGTAAATGCATTTGTATTTTTCTTAAGTGAAACAGGGCAGACTATGTCTCTGCTCTAAAACCTCATCTAATCAGTATATCTGCTTAAACAGAAATTACATAGAAATGTTCTTGCCAATTTATAAAAATATTACATAATTATGAAGGGTTTAATATTCTAGAATAGAAGTTCCCCGAACTTTTTGGCTCGGGACCCCTTTACAAACTAAAAAAATTATTGAGGACTCCAAAAAGCTTTTGTTAGTGTGGGTTATAGCTATTGATGTTTACCATATTAAAAATTAAAACTGAGAACTTTAAAAGATAGTTTATTAAATCGTTTAAAAATAATAATAAACCATTATGTGTTAACATAAATAATATTTTAATGAACAAATAACTATAATTTTTGGAGAAGAAAAAAATTTAGTGACAAGAGTGGCATTGTTTTACATTTTTAAATCTTTTTAACGTTGGGCTCAATAGAAGACAGCCAGATTCTCATATTTGCTTCTGCATTCAAACTGTTGTAATGTCAAACATGATGTAGCCTCTGGGAAACTCCGTGGTACACTTGTGTGACAATGAAAACAGGTAAACACTGTCTTAGTAATATTATGAAAATAGTTTTGACCTCACAGATAACTCTGAAAGGGTCTTAGGAACCTCTAGGGATTCCTGGACCACACTGTGAGATCTGCTCTTCTTGAGTAGTATACTTTTTATCTACTAATTATATTTATCAGTCATGGGTTAAGCTAGTATGATTGAATAGTAATGTATTTCAGCAGTAACTTTAAATAGTCCTGCTTATTTTTTGGAAAATATCAAGAAGTGAGCAGTATGTTCCCACATTTGCCCATGAGTTTTCCCAGTACAACAGTTGGAAGCTGGGGCAAAAAGTACATGTATATGATGTGTGTGTATGTGTGTGCGCCATGTCCGTGTGTGCATCCATGTGTGTGTTTTGGTTGCTGATCTGCAGTGATAGGGTGAATGTGCAAGTTAGATATACTGATTAGGACAAAAGTTCAAGTAAACATCAGTCAAAAAGAGAAAAAGCTATTTTGCTTAATTTCAGCTATTAATTATAGTCTCTTTTTTATTTTGAAAATATTTCTTACTAGGCTTACAACTGCATTTCTTTTTTAGATCAAACCGTTTGAAATATTTTAGTTATATGATATATATTTAAAAATATCTAAAACAAGGTTATCCATCCATAAAAGATGCTTTCTATAGAAGTGTTCAGGCTGAATATTACTTTGCATTTTCTTTTTTAAATCAGAGGGATGACAAGACTAAAAGCACTATCAAGATCAAAGGGATAATTGTGACTAAATTTTAGAATTCTGTTTGCCTGCCTCATCTGACAGGAATTGTTTTGATATCTATCCAAGTTCAATTCTTTGTATTATTCTCTTGACTGAAAGTAGATCCTGCTCCAGCAGTTTTTGAAAAGGTGAAAAACTTGCTGGCAGTACTGGAAACAGCTACACCAAATCTGAACAGCTGTCTAGACAAGCCAGACAGCTGCTCCTGTCAGCTGTGAACTACTACATGCAAATAGCTTTTGAATTTAAAACTTAACCCTTTTTTACATTGTTATTTTAACCGTTATGTAATGTTTGTAGCTAGTTACTTTGATTTAAGCAGTTTATAAACAATTTTAATTTTACATTATTTGTTACAAAAATGGCAAGGGCTATCTTTGTATTTAATTAATTGTTTGTTAAATTTAGTGTCAACTGTGTGAATTCATTACCTAATTTAAAGCAGTTTTGCACTGGTCATCACCATTTCCCTAGATTTGACTAAGTATACATAAATACACTCTTGCATGGATCCATCACGTGGATTCTGAGTCATAGTGACCCCATGTGACAGGATAGAACTGCTTCATAGGATTTCGTAGGCTGTAATCTTCACAGGAGCACATTGCCAGGTGTTTTCTCCCACGGAGTGTGCTTGTGGGCTTGAACTGCCAACCTTCTGGTTAGCAGCCGAGCACTTAACTGTTGTGCCACCAGGACTCTTTTGCATGAGATTAAGACTTTAAATAAATTGATCATATCTGAATATAGGAATACTTTATGTTGCATTCCACCCCTTAAAAGTTTGCAACTTCTTGATTTTTCTTTCCTCCATAAGCTTCTGAAAAAGCCACTCTCATTAGGTTTTCCTCCTACCTTTTTGACAGATTCTTTCCGATCTTGTATATGGTCTCTTTCTTTCCTCATCACATAAATATTGGTGTTCTTATCTTAGTTCTCAGGTTTGCTGACCGTATAAACTCTGCTTGGGCTCTCTCTTTCACATGTAGGAATCTTAAGAAATTGAGGGATTAAAAATTAATGGAATCAGTGAACAATGATTTATTGGATGTCTGTTCACTATGTCCCTACCACTGCACCAGTGGATACTTAAGAGAAGTATTCTAACCTCAGGTACTTTGTAAATGATTCACAGAGTTACAGTGAACATGACCTGAAACAAATAGAGAATAAAGTGCAGAACTATGTGACATTTCATAAAGTAGAGAAGTTTGTGTAGGGAGGAGTGAGACGGACTGTAGCATTCACAGAACTTGTGGCAATTAGAAGATGGTCACAAAGTAAAATTTGTGGTAGGTTAACAATTACCATATAATTTCTTCACTAAATGTATTTTCTTCACTATTTTAGTTATGTCAGATCTCAGAAAGGAAACATCTTCAAAATCTGAGAATATTAATAATGTAAAATTAGGTAACAATATTTGGGAGCATTTCCTTGATACAGAATATTCTGCACCAGGTGTTTTATACCAGTATTGCCTCATTGAAATAAAATTCAGATAAGCTTTAAAACGAATTTTAGTATAATTTAAATAAAGTTTTAATTAAAACAGTTTTAGCATTCATTAGTAAAATAGCAGTAATGTAGGATAAAATGAGATTTCAACAAAGAAATTGTCGGCAGTCTCAGAGTTAATGAAAGAGTGTGCTTATATATTGAATGCATGAATGTCTAGGGACTGAGCAGTACATTGATTTTCTAAGTCTGCAACTGTTTACTTCCACCAAGGCAGGATCTATATACTCTTGATTGAGCTTGTTTGCTAACTTTAGCAAGAAACTGTAGCTAGGCATAGTTAGCATAATACAGATGGCTGTCGTCGTTACTATTTTTAGAAGTAGCAGTATGTCTGACTGGCTGGCATCTGTTTCTCTCTTTGTCATAACATGCTGGAGACAGTTCAATTTTCAAAATATAGGTAGCCCTCAGTTAAAAATTAATCGATATGTTTAAAATTATGGCCTATGATGTAAAGTGGACTGAGGGCCAATTTTCAAATTTAGTTTAATTCAGGAATTAGATCTGTTTTCTAGAAATAAACAGCTACAGTAAATTTTTCTCTTACCTCATTCGTCATGATAGACACGTGACCCTTACAAAAGAAGAATTTATTTTTATGGATTAGTAATTCTTTCTAACAGGTACATCGAAAAATCAGAGAAGATTCAGATATGGCACAAGATTCTCTACAGTGCCTTGCCCAGTTAGCTTCTCTTCATGGACCCATCTTCCCTGATGAAGGATCACAAGTTGATTACCTAGCTCACTTCATTGAGGGATTGCTGAATACCATCAATGGGTAGGTATTCTTGCCCTTTATAACTGAAAAAGGAACTTTTGTTTTTTTCTTGGTGTTTAGCAATGGAGGGAAAAAAGGAACTAGTTGATGTTCCCCCTTTTTATATTTTGAAGTATAATTGTGTTAGTAATCTGCAGTTAATACACAGAGGCATACCTTTGAAAATGAATAGGTGATAATATTTGCATGTTTGAAAACAAGTTATTGTAACTTTTCTTCTGCTACCACTTAATATTACTCATTACTTGATTTGTAGAATTGAAATAGAAGATTCTGAAGCTGTGGGAATTTCCAGCATTATCAGCAACCTGATAACTGTGTTCCCTCGAAATGTTTTAACTGCCATTCCAAATGAACTTTTCTCCTCCTTTGTTAACTGCCTCACACACCTCACATGTTCTTTTGGGCGAAGTGCTGCATTGGAAGAAGTGGTGAGTGACTCTTCTAATATAAATTGTTTATTTTTTCACAAGGAAATTTACTATGCCTTTAGAACATTTCTCATGAAAATTGTTCTGAGTGAGTGTGAAAGTAAGTGTTTTAAGTGAGTGTTAAGATGGCATTTTTGTTTATATGTACAAATTATTTGCAACGTGTGTTTGAAAACATGACCTTTAAAATTTTGTGGCTTTAAATCACTTCAGTGACTGGATTATATTGGTTTTAAGATTTTAATTTTGAGGTTATTTAGTATCTGAATGTAGGAGATGGAATGAAATGCTTATATTAAATATATTGAAAAACCATTTTAACAATAAAAAGTTATTTGAAAAGTTTAATTAAGATGCTGTTATTGTAATTATGTCTGATTTTATAAAATTATCTCTGAGAACTTTTTTAGTTGGGATTTGCCTGGAAATTATATATATATAATTTGGTTCAAATAATTGTAACCATGCTTATTTTGATTAGACTGTGCTTTTTTATTTTTTGGTGGTATAGTTTAATAGTATATTGTTGTCGAATTTAATTTTCATTATAAATTAAGACAAATAATACTAAAGGTATTCTTTGGGACAAATTTCCAAGTGTATATGTTCCAAATTTTTGAAGTTTAGGAAACGTGCTAGAACTCCATGACAACAAGCCTGCGATTGTAATAGTTACTGTGAATAACTGCATTAATTGTAGAAAATAATTGATTTTTTTCTACAAACTAGTTAATTTAATTGTTGAAACTAGTTTTTCTTTTTATAAGTCAAAATGTGGATCTTTCAAAGATGTAAGAGTAAAAAATAATATTTGAAGCTATCAGAGTTTTATGTTAAATTCTAATTGAGTTGTTTTGGTGAAGGTCTGGAAAAGTGTATATGAGGTTTTCATTTTCCTTCAGATATTTTCAGAGAATAAAAAACTTGGGATTACTGTGTTTATGTAATTGGGCACTTAAGTGATTTGCAGAGGTAAGGAACTGAGTCAGGTATGTAATTATGTGATGGAAAAATGTAGACAGTGGAGGAATAGAAGTTTAAAGGCTTCATATGTGGGACTTGAATTTTTCAGGGGGAAATTTATGTTCAAAAGAATGGGAATACAGAGAAATATTTACGTATTTAAGCTTTACTCAAACCCCTTCCCAGTTATCACAGATCCTGATTCGTTCAAGTTTCACATAACATGGTTTCATTAACATCCTTTGTTTTCTCTTCTAACCTAGGTAGATTAGACAGCATGTTTATCACATTATTTAGAAACACAGCTACCTTTTAGTCTCTGTTTGTAGGTTAAGAATATTCCTCAACAGTTGAAAGAAAAATTGATAGAAGATAGATGACATTCTTGGTTTGCGAATTTTAAGTTCAGAATTTATTTACTTTAACCAAGAGACTGAAAAACTTGGCAAACAGTTTTTCTGGAGGATTTGACATACGAATATTGGAAGTAAGAAAATCTAGAGTCACTTTAGAGAAGTAGATGTATGTTGTGCTTTGTTTCACAAAAAGGCATGTTCTAATTATGATGTTTCATTTAAGAAAGGTGTTATTTCTTTTACTCTCTTGCTCTGTTTATGATACTGACTTTAAAAATGTTTTAAAAAGTACCTGGTGACCTTTTCAAAAGGACAGAGGGAAAAGATTTGTCATTTGTATTAATTATAGAACCCGGGCAGGGGAAGTTTGGTGAGGTTGAGGGCTAAGATGGTGGCCCCTGAATTGCCTAAGGGCTAAATGAATACTCTTGAATGTCATCCCAACTAAGTAGTTGGGCAGCATGCAACTAATACCATACGTACATGAACAAATCTAGCAAACTAGATTGGCACTTCTGGGAAAGATGCCATGTCGTCTTTTGTTTCCTTGGACTCCTAGTACTTGTAATACTAGTATCTAATACATAGTTGTTGACCTGGGATGGAGAAGTACATAAAGAAATGATCTTTTAAGTAAAATTTGAAAAGTTGAGGCATATTAAAAAAACTACTTTGGGAATCAGAGTGGTGTGGGAAGATCATGATCTTTGGAGTGACAGTGCAGTCATGGGTTCAGATATTAGTTCTACTGATAATAAAGTGGGGTACCTTAGGCAAGGTTTTTTTTACCTCTTTTGAGCATGTTTCCTCTTTGGCAAAGACAGGATAATCATTCCTTCTGATGGTGTCTGGGGTGGAGTAACTATATGAAAGTGCCTATACAGTATGCACAATAAAAGGTAGACTAATAATTATGAAAATGAACTTTTAAAATAGCATTTATTTAGAGCACTATTTTTCCATATAAGTTGTTAGAGTTTTGTGGTTTTGTGCAAACCAGTACTTTTAATGATACTAGTTTTCTTTATAATTTGAATTTTCTGACACATTTTCTTTTTTTTTTTTTTAATATTAAAGGAGTTTCTTTTCCCAGTAAGAAAACATGTTTAGCATATAGAATTTTGCTTTATTGTGATCATATTTTTTAGCACTATGTTTGCTGTATTTAGGAATACATATAGGTTGTCTTCTTTTTTTTTAGACATTCATATCTCTATGATTATGTTGCTGTAGCCAAAAAAAATCTTCATGGGAACAAAAATTTTTGATATTAATTTGTGTTCATGAAGTATGACCTTTGTGAAGTACGTGTTCACCTGTGTGCTGGGAGTGTGTTACTTGTGACTACTCCTAGGCTTGCAGTGACCTGAAAGCCTGTGCTTAAAAAGAGCAATTCCAGTCTTCAGCCACGTTGTTCTGTTATTAAAATTTCTTGGTATTACTTGAAGCTCTCTGAAGTGAAGAATTTTTTAGTTACAATTCAGGAATTAAAGTATTATCTGTGGCTGAACTGGAGATGTTAGAATGATTGAAAAGATGAAACGATGTTGCCTAAAAGTTAAAATCCTCACATATCAGCTATATTTTTAAATATTTATAATACTAGTACATGCATTTGAGTTGGTTATGTGAAATTTGAGTAGAATATGACTTCAGCTCTATACTCAGTTTGTTCCTTGCTTTCTTTTTTCAGGAGAAAATTTAAGTTTATTCCACAAGTAGGATAATCAGAAGCCATGAGTTATACATGTTGAGTTACATAAATAGAAAGTAGACTTCATGAAGTTTAAGCATAGAAGTGTTTGTATGTGTGTTTGGTGTATGCATTGGTATGTATGTGTACATGTGTAAGGTTGGTGGTGGTAGATACACTTCATGAAGGAAGAGCTTTACATTTAATTTTAGTATGATTGTAGCCTAATCTCAAGACCACCAGGACAAGGCAGTAAAGAAGAAGGTACTTGATAATGTTAGGAAGTTTATTGTGGAGTGTAATGCAGTAAAATAATTTTGCAATTTGTTGAATGAGTGAGTGCATTTAAACGTCAGCATTCTTAATTCAGAACCTAGTTTCTCTGCCTCTCTGGGCAGTTACTTTGTGGAGATGAGATGTAGTAAAAAGGAATGTATTCCTGCAAATAAATGGATTATAATTCCCAGAAGCCAAATTACAAATTGAGAAGTGGGAAGCAAAAATCTTGGGATATCTCAGTGATAAAGAGGGAAAACAGTCTCTGGAATAATGATGCCAGTAAAATGTGGATGTGTAGTCTGTCTTGCACCTTAAATCATAAAGGGTGGGATTGTTTGACACTCCATGCCGACTTCCCCATCCAACAGTTCTGATAGCTAGGAAAGAATAAATTGGTGATACTGTAGAGAGCACGAGAGCTGTCTAGGCCCTACATACCCATCATTTGGATTCGTTTCCTGCTTTAAAAGGATCAGAGAATTAAATGAGATGCAAGAGTGTTTTTTAAATCATGCACATGAAAAGTATACTTCTTTTTAATCATAACAATAGCTTTAGCTCTCCTATGGTATTTTGAAAGCAACCTAGTTCATATTACACCTTAATTACAGAATCTTATTAAAAGAAGTCTTTTAAAAATAATTTCAATGTTTTATTTAATTCTCGTTGGGTCATAATTTTACCATGAAATGTTTCATGACTTGTATATGAGTGAGCTCTGATTATTTCAATCTGCTGTACTAGTAGTGTACAACCAGTGTTTAAGTTTTACAGAATTCTTGCACTTGAAATAGATTATAGTGGATTTGCAGTAAAGCTTACTTATTCTGGTAAATAACAATAACAATAGCTATTGTTCCATATAGTATCCTGTAAATAAAAATAACAGTAGCTATTGTTCCATATAGTATCCTATGTATTGTTTATAATGCTAGCATTAGAAACATAGATCCAATGGGCTTGGGGTTCAGAAATGAACCCTGGAGTGAGGTAGAATAAACGGATGCCCTTCTACCCCATGTAGGCTGGGTGAGTCCCTGAGATGTCAGTCCGCTAGGAGTATTGGTGAATTAATTCAGTTCCATTAATATTTACCATGTGCTGGGCATGATGTTTAATGCATATGCATTCTTTTACATTAAGAATTTGAAAATTCATATGCATTTCTAAAAGGAAGAAAGTGTAATAATTCAGGAGTACAACATTTTAAAACGCTTTCTTTCTGAAAATTACAACTCAGGCTTATGGGTGTTTTTGTGGGTTTTGTTTTTTTTTTTAATCCTATCTGTAAGATTCTTTTAACAGCTGCAATACTTGTCTACTAAAGCAGTTTCTCCTGGGGGATTTCAGAAGCCAAGAACACTGTCAGCTGTATAGGTATTCTGAAGTTAATTCCATGCTTTAAAGACTATCTAGGAAAAAAATCAAAATGACTAGATGATGATTTAATTTCTTTTTCATTTGACATTTATTTAAAGACCTAAATTCTTTTTCAATGGAGATTTCATGAAGTTTCATTTGTGACATTTCTGTCATTTTTCTCTTTTATTGCCATATTTGCCTTAAATGATAACTATAATAGGACAAAATCTAAATTCTTATAGCAGATGAATAACAGCCTAAAATAATATAGCTCTTTCATTCTTTGATGTTTAGTATGCCATTCCCTGGAAATATGGAACCGAAAGTTAAACACAGTTAAACAACTT